TAACTCTGTAATACAACTTTCTTTTCTATAATAACTGCTTTATATAAATAGATTCTATAATCCATTATTGCCTTTAAGGCGTCTTTCGTATAGCTTAAAAATAAAATAGAATTAACGAAATATGACTTATTTCTAGCTTATTCTTTTTTCAATAGGAAAATTATATATAGAAAATTTTGTTCATTGTACCATATTTATCTATTAATATGATGAGAAAAAAAAAACTCGATTGCTTATAAAATTCTCTTGAGTATAAAATAGTTCTTTTGTTCATAACAACTTTCAAATAGATAATAATTTGCTATTTTATGGTTGAAAATGAACGATTTAATTAAACAGCAATTATATAATAATTTGAAATTCTTATCAATTTAAATTTTAGAATTCTTTTTTTTTTACTTAAATTTCATCATATTATAACAGCAGCTGCTTGGTTTTTTTCGTTGATCATTGATATTATATCAGATTTCCAAGGAATTCCCCCCCCCCCCTCCCCCCTTATACATACAAAGTTGATTTCCTTATTAACAAACATCGGTGAAAAGTTCACTACCTACTTTTAATTTGAAAGAAAATAATCATTATTAGTCAAGCGTTTCTAATATGTAACGACCTTGGTCATTCATGCTTACCATGTTCAAAACTACCACACCCGATCTATATTTTGTTCGAACATCACTCATCTTTCAATTAACCGACAAGCATCTATATACTGGTCGGTCAATTCACTTTTTTTTTTTTTTATATGATTCTGCTTGAGGCTGATTTCAATAGGATCAGTGAACATGGAATAACAAAGATAATTAGCAGCAGGCGTTCGTTTGGACATGAACACATTTCTTTTTTTTTTTTTTTTTTTTTATTTGAGATGCATACAAACGTTCAATATTTTGGAATAATCAAGTAGAAGAAAAGAAAAAGAGAAAGAAAAACGAGAGAGAAAGAGAGAGAGAGAGAGTGAGAGAAAAAAAAGTATGCATACGTTGAACGAAGAGAACGATTGTCCATTTTACTTGACACCTTGTCCGAGAGACAGAATAAAGAGAATCATTTTAAACAACATCGATCAAATGCTATGTTGTTATTATTTATTCTTATTCATTTAGCTGGTTCACATGTAACTTTTGATACAACAATTGAAAATTATACAGTACCAGTTAGTGGAAAATGTATATTAACTTGTTATGTAGCTGAAGTTCGTTCATTTAAAGTAAGTTAATTATTTTCTTTATTTCCATTCATATTATTCTTCTTCTTATAATAAGAATCTATAAGTTTTTGATGTGGTAATTGAAAGATGAAATATTTTATTCTTGAACTTTAATTCTCTGAGATGATGATTAAATTTTCTTTTTTTTCTGTCGCTTATGATTTCAAGTGTTCAAACGAAGAAAATCATGTTTCGAAAACAAACACAACCTATCAATATATATACATGAGATGTGATCGGTCGGTAGTAAAAAAGTAATTATTTACATACGCGAGAGAAACAGCAAAAGAATATTTTGTTCGATATGAATAATTTGATATATTATTTACATTTGTGCACATATATATATATATTGCATTGCAAAAGGAGACATACAATCAAGTTCAAAATTTCCATATACGGATGGCGACGAACCGGAAGATGATGATTGTGTGTGTGTGTGTGTGTGTCTGTCTCTCATGTGAGTAGAATAGATGAATATGTTGGTGTGTGTGAAAAAGACATTAGAGTTCGATTACAAGGCTACATATATACACACACACACACATATGAAATTGAAGTATACACAAATTTTCAACTAGTTCAGTAATTACTTGTGAATTGTCTTTGAACTCTCTATACAATACTATATATTTAAGTTAATATATGATGAATTCTATGGTAGTCAATCAATAAAATGTATAGATGATTTCTTTTCTTTTTTTTTTTGATCAGTGTACATGACAATAATGAATAGTATAAATTGAATTGTATAGGTTCTATGGCAAAAAATTGATCGAATAAATCTAGGTGAGAATCAAACAAATGGACAACAATCACAAGATGAACAACTAACATTAATTGCATTTGATGGAATTGTCTATTCAAATAAAGATCATTATCGTTTAGAATCTGATTATGTTGGATCATATAATTTAATAATAGATCGTGTTAATGAAGATGATCAAGGTGAATATCAATGTCAAATAAATACTGAACCAAGAAAAACTAAACGAATTTTTCTTACTGTACAAGGTATTTAGAAAAAAACTCTTTCTATTTTAAAATTCGATTCTTTCTTTCTTTTTAAGTTCCACCACGTATTGTTGATTTTCGTCCAAATCCTCCATTAATATCAATACGTAGTGGTATATCATTAACATTATTATGTCGTGCTGAAGGTACACCATTACCTAATATACGTTGGCGTTTTCGTGATATTGATATGAATCGAATTGAATCATGTAAGTAGACATATTAATGAGAATATGTTGTACTCAATCATCTTTGTTTTACATAAATTCACATGCACTTTCTAAGCTGATTACAATAAAATACATATATATATATCGCGGTTGTATTTTGCAAAAGAACAATAGAGTCGTATTGACACTTGTTTTGTTTTTTTTTGTTCATATGAACCTTACATATTTATTCTTTTGTTTTTTCTTTTAGTACCACCTGATAATAGCAATATATGGTTTATTCCATCAATTGATAAAAATTTTCCACATACAGTTGAATGTATTGCTGATAATGGTGTTTTACCTGCATCAAATCGTATATTTACAATAAATGTTGAATGTAAGTTTTTATGTTTATAATTTTATAAATTTTAAAAGAAAAAGAAAAATATATTTAGATCCACCTATTGTAAAGATAAATAATGATTTAATTCAAAGTCAATTATATCAAAATGTAACAATTGAATGTTCAATATTAAGTCGTCCATTAGCTCATATTTATTGGGAAAAAAATGGACAAATAATTGAAGATAATAAAATAAATATTACACAAATAAATCAAACAATGTTAATAAATCAATTAAAAATTCAAGTAGATTAAAAAAAAAAATTTTTCATACATAATCAATATGTTTATTATTTTTTTTGTTTGTTTATTTCAATAGATAAACAATGATAATGATTTTGGACAATATAATTGTATAGCTGAAAATATTCATGGACGAATGGAAGCTATTGTACTTGTACTTAGTATGTATCTTTTACAGACTATAATATTGAGTTGTATGCGACAATATACATTCAAAGATTTTTGTTTGTCATTTTGCTATTCTATAAGCTGTGACATATAGTCAAGATTTTAGTACACTCTGAGATATTGAATCTATGTCGTAGTGATAACTCGACATCATTCAGTACTGCAGTTGTAAAACTTCTAGAACAAACTTGTCGATCTGATAGGAACTCTAGTGAGATTATCTTGAAAACAAAAATGTGCTGTTAAATAGAAATTCTATGATAGACTGTCTGCATCATCAGTAAATTACTGCGAAATTTTCAGATTTTATCTCATTTCTTTAAGTTACAGTGTTTTTTTTGCTATTATATCAACCATCATTACAGAGACAGTAGTCTATGAATGAGATGAGATCACATTTTCCGTCTATTTACTCCATCAAAATCTCTTCTAATCTCGGACTATTGGTCTAATCAACGAGACTCAAAGATATACTCCGCTGTTCAAGGATGTAAGAGACTAGAAATATCAGTTCACACTATATCACGTATTCAACTACTTGACATCTATTTCAACATTGTTCAATCGTCTCTTATTCACAATCAGCTGTTCTCGCTTCACTTAGTGCCGATGATCAAGTATGTATGATTCGTATCAAGGATATATCGATCAACATTCAGAAGATTTTGAATCTTTCAACGAAGTTTACTTTAACGTTGATGCTGATAGTTGCCAACAATCGAATTGTCGCTTATTATGCCTTATTCAATGCAGTCATTACCGCAAGCTTTGAATATTTCTTTCACGCTTATCACTATCATAATTAGATATCTACTGTCTTTCAATGTGACACTAGAATTTTTTAGAAAGTAATATCTATAAAACTTTATTTTGTTCGATCTAGGATTTCCAAGAAAATGATTGTGACTTATAAAGATGAGATAAAATCTGGAAATTTCACAGTAATTTGCTGATAATGCGGACAGCGTATTATGAAATTTCTACTTAACAGCACATTTTTGTTTTCAACATAATCGCAACAGAGAATCAAAATTCTTCTTATCTACTGAAACTTGAAAATCGAAATATCTCAACTCATAAGGACCATGGGTTTGACTCCTTTTAGGATTATTCTAGTCTAAACATCTTCTCTATGTGCTCAAAGATGGTTAATCACCTCGGGCACTTCCTTTGTTAGTAAAAATCAGCATTTGCTCTGTAATAAACATTACAATATCTCAGTGATTTCTAACGAAATTCAGATTAAAGATAGCTATGACATTGGCTTTTCGAATGGAGGAGTTCGACGAAAATATCTGTTTCAACATGGTTGAGATAAGATGACTACTGCATACACCTAATATTATAAAGAATAATAGCACTTCATGGGGGGGATAGCTACTTTTTATTTAAGACTGTATTTATACTTGTTGTTAATAAAAATTTATCTATTTTTTTTGTATAGAAGAATCAATTACTGTTACGACATTAACAACAAAAAAACTTCAACGTCATTCAAAATATTTTTCATTACGATTAAATTCTAGTCGAAAATTTCTTCGATCAACAACAACTACAACAACAACAGCAACTAGAAATGTATATATTGAACGTGATATTTATATTAGTTCATCATCATATCGTCTTTGGACGTATTATAGATTAAAAAATCTTTTATTTGTATTATTATTATGTCAATTTAAACGAATTAATAGATGAAATTAAGATTTATACATATGTATGTGTGTATATGTGTGTGTGTATGTTTTACAGTGATAAATAATATTTATTGAAAGAAAACAAAATAAAAAAAGAAAAGAAAAATAGTCAATCATGTACATCCAGCTTCTTTAGCTTCTTGGATGGCACGACGACGATTTTGAAGGTGAACAGTTAAGACAACAATAAGAACAATTAAAATCATTATTGTAACAAATGCATATGTATAAGCGACACTAATTATTGTTAAAAAATAAACATTTTTTGAACACCAATTTTCTGGATCTTCTGTTGTTTGTTCAAAACGTGGTAAACGATAACGGCATAATAAATAATTACCATAAATAAACCAAACAATAAGAAAAAGTGTTGTAAGAACTTCCATAAATGTCTAGGATAGATCAATAGAATAAAAAGAAAAAAAGAAATTATTTATTGTAATTTGATATTGATTAATTGTTTTTTTTTTTAATATAACAATATTTCTCGATTATCTGAATATATGATGAATGATTGAAAAAATATTTAAAGGAAAAAATAAAATACACGAAAAATTAAAATATATTTTGAAATAATTCTCAGCATAATTTTAATTGAATTTTGTAGTCATGAGAAAGATATTAAAATATTTATATTTGATTATTTTCTTTAAATTCTTAGCATAAAATGTAAAATTCTATTTTTTTGCACAAGTATCCCGAGTTCAAAACAATAAAAATTCGAATCACTAGATCGTCTTTTTTTTCATAATTCCATAGTATGACGAATAATTACAGTGAAACTTAATACATTGTTTTTAATGTTTAAAATTATCGTTATGTACGAAGATTTTTATTAAATGAAAATGTTTTTCTTTTGTACACTGTCTTTTACAACTAAATACAAAATTCTATATGTTCGTTACAATAATTATTGAATTTTATTAAGAATTTAATAAGAAAGACTTTATCCTTTTAATTAAAAGCTATGCAATTTTAATTAATTTCCGTTAGATCTTAACAGGAAATTATTTTCTAAAGGAAATTCTTTATGATACACAGGTATCATTTTGATGATAAAAATTAAATTTCAACGAAGTTTTATTAAATATTTTTTTAATAGACTTCTATTTAATAATGAATATGTATGATAAGAATTTTAATTTACTATCTAATATAGATAAGTCAATAAAATTTCTGTTGAAAAAACGTTCTTCAGGTTGTTAAGTACATTTTCATCTTACTACTTTCATTTGATATAGAGATGCAATCATAAAGAAAGCTCATATTATAATACAATTAAAGTAATTAAATACTTTTATCATATTTTCTTAAGTTATAAAGCATATTCCTCATGAGATTTACGCCTTATTATTATTGTCAAAAATTACTTTAAGTAAAAACATATCTCTCATCAAAAAATTACTATATTGAGATATTTAAGATGTTTTCTCTCAAATTTAATTAATTGAATGTCTTAAATTTATAAATTATAAAAGAAAATAATTAAACAATAAAATTACTTTTCTTGTATACATTCATAACATTGAAAGATATATAAGGCAAAGAGGAAGAGTAGTGTGTTAGGAATGATTATTTTTCTCTTTGAAAATTTTTTTTTCTTTAGTAGAAAATATCTGAAAATAAGTCGATACTACTTCTAATGAGCTTGAAAATGTGTCTCTTCTTCCGGTTCAATTCCTGCTGTTAAAACGACATATAATTACTAAAATTCTGTGTTCATCATCGAATGAAAAACTTATGTTGTAAAAAATGATCTAATTTTAACTATACCGATCCATTTTGTGTATCAGTCGTTTCTTCTTCTGATGGACTACTATGACGATTATATTGTTTCCAAAGAACTTGTAATAATTTAAGTAAAGCTAAAGCTCCACCAACAAGTACAAAAACTGGAATATTACGATCTAATGGACATTCTTCTAAATTTGAAATACCTAAAAACAATATTAATTCAGAATAAAAAAAGAAGAGATGTCTATGAAAAAAAAAAACAACAACAACTAAATCTTACCAACACTAATCATAATTACTGGTAAAACAAGAGATGATGCAAAAATAAATGAAGCAGTTTCTAGAAAAAAAAAAAAAAAACAACGACGACATTTTTCTTTTTTGTTTTTTAGAAGAAAAATTGATTTTTCATTAAGATTACTTGTTTGAAATAGAATTGATGCTGTTTTTTTAGCAAAATCAAAAAAATGTTCAGCATCTGTATATTCTTCATATATACGTGCAAATACGGATATATTCGATTGACGGTCTTTAAGTTCGGTAACTGACCATCGAGATGTATAAGGATTATGATCGCCATCACCGTACTAAAAAAAAACATATACAATTATATTTCTTTAATAATAAAAATAAAATATTTTTATTTACAATTTCCATGTAACATTGCCGTCTTGATTCGTTTGTACTAGATAAAAAGGATTAAGAAATGGTATGATTTGTATTGTTTTGTTTTTTTTGCTGTTAGTCGTATGTTTCTTTTGAATATATCTATTTTCTATCTAAAATAGTCTTTACAGAATAAACGACGACATTAATCAAAGAATAGATGAATAAATAAGTGAGAAAATAGTAAGAGCAACTTTCTCTCTCGTCATTGCTATTTCCGAACAAAAAAAAAAAAAAAAAAAGTAATCATAATCTATAAGACTTGAGAGGCGAACATAAGAGACAGTAACCGAAAGAATAAAGAAAGAAAAAAGGCAAAGTCAGATTGTTGTTGATGAATTTCAAGACGAGAAAAATAAAGAGAGAGAGAGAAAGTTTCTATGCATTCATCACACTCGTTTAGAATATAATCGATCGATAATAATTTTCTTTTCATTTCTCAATCATACTCTATCTCCAATTCATTTTAAATACATAACAAGTGTATTCACATTCTAAGTTTGATGTCTCTCTAACAAGTTTCTTTTTTTTTCTTCTTTTTTTCCGCTTGATTAGAAAATATGAATTAACCGGATTTGACGTTAAAGACGATCCGCTTAACCGGAAGTATTCATGTTTAATACATGAAATATTCTATCTTATACTTTCTATTCGTTCAAAAGCTTGAATTTTTTGTGCATGTATATAATATTCTATTAACTTACATATATATATTTATATAGATGATTAAAAGAGTAATGACTTGAAAAGAAGACAAGTAATATGAACAACAATATTTCAAGAAGTTTTCTCTAGGGATTAATCAATTATTGAAAAACTTATACCACCTCCTTTATGTTAATATATTGTTTTAAGAATATATTTTTTTTTTTCATAGATTGATTTATATCATTTTTCTTTTATTGAAAAAAGGAAAAAAAAAAGAAAAGACAAGAGTCATATGGAAAAAAGAAAAAAGTCAAGTCATCTAAATTATGATTTGACGGCAAGACCATGTTATTACTTCTCGTTTTCTTTCTTTTTTTTTTTCTAAAAAAAAAAAAAAAAAAAAACAGGATTATAGAATCTAAACTAAATTAAAATATTCTCACATAACGGATCGGAAACAAAAACCATAATAGGATAATATGATGTAATTAATTGTTCAGGTAATGGAATTTTTCCCATACATAAATACATTCCACTTTCATTTTTTGATATACGATCAATAAGTAGACTATCAATTATATCCGATAATAAAAAATGATTATTATCTATTTAATTCAAATAAATATATCTATTCATAAATATGATTTGTTTTTTTTTTTTTTACCATTGATACGTATAAGTGTAGCTAATGGTAAATAAGATGAATTTGTTATTAATTGAAAATTAAAATATTCAGGACGACAAGCAACAAATAATGATGCATTTATTCGTACATGATATTCAGCTAATGCTGATGATTGAAATGATATTCCATTTGTTTCAACAATCACTTTGAAAAAAAAAAAACCAAGATTTCTCATTAATCAAAAAAATAATAAGAAAGAAAACTCTTTTCTTTTTTTTTTTTTTTTACTAACTTTCGGCTTTTAAAGTAATTGATGTTGTTGTTATTGTTACTTCCTCTTTCGCCATTTGCATGTCTACAGGGCGCGACCGACAAATATACGTACCAGCTACAACAGGTGCTAATCGCAAATAGACTGAACGTGTTTCACTTAATAAATATGATGTTATTCTATTGAAATAACAAAAAAAAAGATCAAATCAAAATTATTAGAGATTCTTTTTTTTTTTACTGTTGTTCAGAAGACATGCTTGGATTGATAATCGTTCCATTTTCATATGTCCATTCGGGTTCAAATTGATCATCTGTTGATCGACAAACAAATGTATATGTACGACCCAATTCAACATTTATATGAGAAAGATTCGGAATAATTTGTAAGATTTGATCATGACCTATGAAAAAAAGAAAATTCTACTTCTTTTTTTTCAAATACAGAAAAATTTCTTTTGATGATAATAATAACAAACTTTTTTTCTAAGGTTTCTATATTAGAGATGGAAAAATTTTCTTTCTCTTGAAACGACATATTAATTCTAATGAATCTCAGTAGGTGCAAAAAGATAGACATCTCTTAATATTCATTTTTCTTCTGTATCTTCATTTACAGAAATATATGTTACTAATTCCAGAAGAAGAACAACAACAAATGGTTCCGACATTGTTATAATACTCATTAAAAAAGAAAATGAGGAAGTATAGTTGAACTTAGATTAGAGAATTGTAAAACTTATAATATAATAAATCATATGATAATATTTATGTAATAAAATAATTCGATTGATTTCAAAAGAACATTTTTAAAAGATATTAACTCGAATAAATCTTCAATGATATTTTCACTGACAACGAAAGGATGTGCATTGAAAACTATTCAACATATTCGGATCAAACAAAAAAGTCTCGCTAACAAATTAATAAAATATAAAACATGAACGATTTTATGATGTGCATAGACTGACAAGAGAACATATCCAACTGTCCGAATGCTGTTCGCCTTCGGACAGTTATATATATATATATATATATTCCCTCGTGAGATATTACAAATTTTAAGGTATTTACAGTGTATATTATTTGCTAACAATTCAAAATTTCAGCACAATTTATTTTTCTTTATTCACCATGATTGAATAGAGTTTGCCGAGTTGCACATATATAAAAAAAACGATATTTCACGAAAGTTCGAATTTCGAGTATATTTTCCTTTATATATTTGAATATAATGATATTGTGAATTTTTCCCTGGAAATGTGTGTTTTTTTTTTCTATATGTGAAGTATAGTTATGCTAATGTAATTCGACAAGCTCTATCCAACCATGATGAAAAGAGGAAGAAAAAAATTCCGCTGTAATTTTTAATTATTACCACATGACATACATTTTAAGTATTTTATTGATCCATCAAAAGCGGTCCTTCATAAGTGTGTATCTCAATTGATATTTGTCTGATTCTCAAGAAATAGATTAAAGGATAATTCTATGTTAGATGTTGAGTTTTCTATTCACCGAGAATAATTTCTTCCGTTATGCATCATCTATATCATATACATTATTATTATTATCTATTCAACCGTTATCTATCTTTCTTTAAACATAATCTTCTTTTGTTTCTTGCTATATAACAAATATGTTACAACATGATTCTAATGTATTATTTATAATTTCATTTTTGATAATTTATAAGGGTAAACGTCTTCTTTTGATTGACAAGTTATATTTAACAGAGAAATAAAAATTCACTTTGAAATATGAATTATTAAATAATATGTGAAGAAAAAAAATGTTTTCTATTGTGATTATGAATTCATTTATTCGAGTTATTCTTTGAATAAAATAAAATAAAATCTTGATGACATCTTCTAAAAGAGGATTTCTTTTTTTCTGCTTGTTTGAACAATATATATGAAATGAAAATTGAATGACTGATGAATATTTCAGTGTTATATTAAAGAATGACTCAGATGTCCTGACTAATTTTGTATTAATAAATGTCTTTATTGAGAAAATGTACTGTATAACGTGTTCTTTAAAAAGTTCATCTACACGGAAAGTTCTAGGTCAAAAAAAACATCTGCCATGTTCAAAAGCATATTACTCGTTAATAATTAAATCATATTCTGAAATCATTTTGACTAATTATTTGATGATTAATCGGATGTCTAACACATGAAATGAATATAATCGATTTCCTGTACTAATTCTATTTTTAAAAACGGAAAAATCATAGCTAATAATAACTAATTATGTTGAGGTATTATAATCTTATGAAAATGTTTTTTTTTTTAATGTTGAGAATTATTACAATGAAAAATACGTCGAATATAAAAGAGAAAAATCGATTAAGATGTAGTTCATTAACTCTATAGTTACGAAAGTTTTGCAAATATAATAAAAAAAAATTGGGTTTGCTCATAGGAACTTCAAGTCGGGATATATACGTTAAAGGAAAGCAGTGGATTATGTTACGGTTTAGTAAATACTATAAAATTTCGTACTTTCAGAATCAAATAGAATTTTCTAAAACCTTGCATAATTCCATGAATAGCTTTGTGAGTTCATATCATTATGTCGATCTAATAAAACTGAACCTCTAGTCTTTAGGAAGATTAGAGTTTCAGCAGAAATTGCAACTTCCTAAGGCGACAATAGTTCTAGGATTCTATGAAATTTTATGATTTTCTGTTTGGTTTCAAAGGATTTTGTACGATTTGAGGAATAGAGAGAGCCTATGAGTTCCGATAGACCTCTGAATCTACAATTCCTTTCTTTTTCACTCGATATACATATACAGTAATATCATACACTGACGCTCGGATACTAAAAGCATAACGAAAAGACAATATTCCATGACCGAAGAAAAAGAAGATCGAAAAAAATTATTATCTATATAAAAGTTCAATCACTATGCATGCAGGCTAGGTAACCAAAGTGTTAAGAACTGTTCGAATAGATTTACGAATAAAAGAAACTGAAACCGACACACATTGAAACAAGTCATAATCAAGAGAAAAGTAGGTTTCTACATTGCAGCATTTATTATTCAAATAGAATTCTTTCCTTACAAAGGATAGAATCAATGCTCAACTTTGGTTATATCCAATTAATCATAAAATCAACTCAATATGTTTTACAATGCAAATCGATTTTATCCACGAGTTCCCTTATAACACTTTCAATAGTAATGATTCATATACTGTTAAATATGATAGACACGTTTCTAGGTTTCGAACATTCTTACTAAATGAATTAGCGAAGTCAAATTATAGTCATTTTGAAGAATTCGTTTTACTATAGATTTTCTCTAGCATTCATGAGCATGAAAGTATTTACTATATAAAATCCATTAGGACTTCAGAACCACTATTTATGTATCCCAACATTAAACGAATCTAAATCTTGGTGTTCAAGCAGGAGGGAGGTAGTGGACGGATGATCTCGTCTAATCTTAGCAGTTTTGGGACACTTTGGATCAAATTAGATGGTTTTCATTTAAAAAAAAATGAATACATACTCATCGGTGATGAACATTGTGAATAATCTTCATTCCAAATTTGATCCATTGGACATGTATAATTTGATATATAACCATCTGTATTACAATATGATATGGTATTATTTGTTATAATAGTTTCAGTAAAACCATCACAATGTTTATTTTCAATTAATGATAATGATGTATCATTAATAAAAGATGTTGAATCTTTTATAAATTAAATAAATTGTATTTAAAATTAAAAAAAAAAAAACAAAATTCTTTACTTTGTAATTGTACAATAATAGGATAAATTTTACTTAAAAATTTATTTTTTAATGTTATAAAAGCTCGACAATAATAAACACCTTGATCATAATAATTAAAATTTCGAATAATTAAACTATCTATACCAATAATATATTTATCTTCTAAAAAGAGAACATAATATTTAAAAAAAACAAAAGATGTTTTGTTTTTTTTTTCTTTTCGTGAAATATTTACCATTATTATTCAATTGTCGTCGTTCAAAAAACCAAAGAATTTTCGGTAAATACGGTGAATCCATTGCCTTAGAATAGAAGCAAAAAAAAAAAAGAAAAACTTGATTTTGAATGTTATTTTTTCTTTTATACTTTTTCACTATAATATTGAGCAAAACAATTCAATCGAATATCATTACCATATACAACTGTTTGATTTGTATTCGTACCCATAAAACGAATTTGTTTTGTCAGATCTAATTTACGTTCTTCAAATAGCAAAAAAACAAAAGAATTTCTGAGAAAAAAAAATATATATTCAATTTAGAATTTTATAACTTGTTAAATGAAGAATAATTGTTGATACAGATTGATTTGTTTGACATAAATATGGACCAGTAAGTGATATATCCATTCCTTGAATAGTTAAAATAGATTTACGATTAGGTTGAATTAATTGTGTTGAAATTCTAATAGAAACCAAAAAAAATAATTTTTTTTTTTTTTTTTTTTGTATAAAATATTTCATTTTTGTACCGAGCTGTATCAGATGTTAATCGTTTAGCTGTAATCCATTTTGGATTATAACCAATACATTCAATATAAAAATCTGTTCCTTCATCAATAAATAGATAACCACCATGTGGTGATATAGTCATTGATGAAACTATTATTATTATAAATGATAATATTGATAGAACTTTAATAGAAAACAAAAAAAAAAAAAACAATATGAAGAACAAATTGGATTTTGTTTGTTTTACCTTGAAAATGTTTCATGATATGAACCTGACCGATATGAAATGACCTCGTCTCTTTACAATGATATTTGATTTCTTTCTGTCCACTATTTAAATAAATCTTTATTTGAACACGTCTCTTCTTTTTTTTTTTTCCTCTCTTCTTTCGTGAATCAACAATAGAAAGATGATTGTATGAGATTGTACTTCAAAGAACAAAAATTATCTTTATATCTTGATGTCTATCGATTAATATGTAGAAAAAAAAACGAGATATTTTTGATATTAAGACAAAAATAAAACATTTGTGACCATTGTATACGCTGAAGTGATATCTATTTATTCATTGAGTAAATTTTGGAATTTAAAAAATTCGAAAAAAAAACAAATTAGCAAAAATTGCATATGATTTCGCGTTTTTCTCAAAATCAACTTTTGAACAAAACAAGATGAAATTTTTCTTTCTCTTCAAAATATTGTTCCTAAGAAATCCGACAGTCTTTTAAAACTTTTTACGATATTTTTAAGCCAATATTGTTTGAAAAATTCATTTGAATAAACAATCGCTTTCAACCAGCGATGATTGAAAAAAACTTGCCGTGAAAAAATATTTCGATTTTCAAGACCATGATTAGTTTGAACTAAGACTACAGCTGCTAATCAACTAGATTTGCTAAATCTTACAGTATCACATATATAAACACCGAGATTCTATGCAAATTCATGTATTTTTGGAATTTTTTCCTAATGAACATCGTTGCTTTCAACATAAATTGAATTTAAACTTTATGAAGGTGCTTTTTTTTGATACAATAAATCTTACAATTCAAACATGAATATACATATCAGTGAGAATAAAGAAGAGAAAATAATTGCATCGATAAAATTTAAACTACGACAATTTCTCTTAAACTAGAGGAACTTCACGATTTCAGAAAGTTTATTTTCGAGATGAACATACAAGGATCTAATATAAAATGTCTTTTCTGAATATTCATTAAAAAGCTTTGGAAGTTCTCTATGACAACATTCTTAAGTGAATCTATGCGAATTGAAACCGAAGAAAATCTGTGAGGCAACTCCACTTGTCATGTTGCTAGATGAACACAGTTTCATGCGTTTTGATTAATTTAAATAATTCATATCTGATATCATCATATTTCATGTTGATGCTCAAAAATAGGTCGAAAAAAATGTTTTTGTGTTACATGTTTAATCTCCATATATGATTGGTTACAAAAAAATATATACAACAAGCGAAAATTGATTATACAGAAACTTGATGTCTAAATATTGGATATAACTTCTTCAATAGATTTAACAATCCTGATAAGGATATTGATTTCAGATGTGTCCCGAGCGGAAGTTGTCATCTTCAGGAATCTTCCTTTTTGTTCCAGCAAAGCTTTAGAGTTCTTCTCCTCACTCACCAATGCTCAAAAAACCTTTCTCTAATCTTTGTGACACCTTTAATTGACTCATCAACTTTAACAAGTCTATATCTTATTTTATTCTGCACAAAATACAAAAATACAAAAAAAAAAAAACGAAAAAATCAACTATCTGGCATCATATACGATCAATCGTTTTGTACGTTTTTTATATAATATTCGATAACCACATTCATTACCTACAAAAAAGAAGTATACATTAAAAAAAAAAATCTAATTTTCGATATTTACATCGAATAACATCTGTAGATTTTAATTCATTATCTTTATGACATTCACCACAAATATAGATCATTGTTTTTGATAAATTTTGACTAGAAGGATTATTTGTTGTACTAACAGGAATTGTATTAGGTGATGGTGTCATTGATGGATCATGTATTGGTGTTCTATCCATTTTAAATCTATAATAGAGAAAAAACAAAACAAAACAAAAACTTTTGTTTTTTGTTTTTTATGAATGATGTTTCACGTTCAATCTTTATTGTGTTTTTATTTATATATTTTTTTTTCTTTTAAAAACAAAGCATAAACAAAGATTTGAATTTTTTTATTTATGACCTTTGCGTTGTGCAATTATAGCAGTTTGAAGTTCATCACGTTTCTTTTTTGCACGTTGATGGCTTCCTAACTAAAAAAAAGTATAGAAATTTATATAGTTAAACGAACAAAAAAAAAAAAACAAATAATTTCAATAACATACACGTGCTTTAACATATTTTAATGCACGTTTATCACGGCCAACTTTCATTAATTCCATAGCTCGTCGTTCATATGGCATAAAACCAACAAGTTCACGAACAAGATCACGAACAAATTTGACACGTTTACTTTTTTTCTAATAGAAAACAGAAAAAAAAGAAAATGTTTAGAAAAAAAAGCCCTAAATACATTATTCAAATTAATACGCTTGTACGACGTGATGGTCGAAGACGTTTTGTTACAAATTTTTCTAATTTACGACCTTTGTGAAGACCTGTTGCTATTTCATATTTAGGAACAAATGGTTCCTTAGCGGTTTTAGTTGCTTCACTTGACATATTATAATCTGAAATAAATAAATGAATAGAAAAATTTTATATAAAAAAGAAAATAATTTGATTTATCTATCGAATATACAATATAGAATGGGTTTAGATTTTCTTCTATCCAAAGAATATTTTATGGAATTGAATTGTTTATATTTTTATTTTTTTTCTAGAAATAATAAAATATTTTTTCTTAATATAAAAATGAAAATAAATAAATTTATTAGGAGAATCATAATTTTTAAAATTTTAATCAATATAAAGGTTTATTTAATAAATTTTTCATTGGTTAAAAAATAGTTTACAGTCATAACACATAACAGATGAATCATTTATTCTAAAATGACTGATCAATCGGCTTTGAAGCCTCATGTTCCGACGGTAAACAAAAAAAATCGATAAAATTAATTTAATTATTAAATGATTTGAATGTAATTAAACCTTGATTTATATATGCTTTAGTAATTTTATTGAATTTTGAAATATTTTATCTATTTTCTTGTCTTTGTTTAAGTATGGACCATGTTCAATACGAGATTTAAAACCAGGTGAAGTTAAATTATGGTGTACATGTGGATTAAGTAAAAATCAACCATGGTGTGATGGTATGATTTTGTTCATTCTTTTTTTTTTGTCAAAAAACTACATTCGTCTTTGTCGCTATTAACTGATTGATTCATTCGATTTGTTCGATGAAATATAAATTTTAACAAAAAAAAAAATCAAATTTACAAAACAGAAAAAGTCCACAAATGCTTCAGTTGAATATGTCCGATCGAACTGAAACTTTTGTTCGAGATGGGTATTCTTTTTTTTTTCATTGTTCTGTTCCTTTTTAATAGGTCTTACAAAAAAAGTATGCATTTTTTAGGATACCTCACCTTCTTATTCGAAGGACAAAGAATAAAACGAAACCAAAAAAAAAGATACACAATCCAAACAGTGTCTAGTGTCTGTGAACAAAAAAAAAAAAATCTTCAGCTCGATCTGAAAATTTCAAAATTTAACTAATAATTGACAAGGTTTGTCAGATAATAGTGACAGTCGAAATATTTGAAAGGCTTTTTTCAGAATTTAAACAATGTAGAAATGATTTTTATCTTCAATTTTCATTTATTTTAAACTCATATTCTAGAAAATCAGATATACATCCGATTAAAGACATTGAATAAAGGGCATAGTTCCTTAATTAAGTTATTCAGAGAATCCTTGAGGTATCATTCTTTTAGAAAATTTTCTATTTATAGAAATAGGATGAGAGGTTAAGATGACAATCGTTTTCAGTTATGTCTAATGAAATTTAAATAATAAATTCTTATACTAATCGATCATATCGTGATTTAATAAGCACAAAATAATCGAGATCTAGAATATAATATATATCCATTACTAACATTGTTGATTTACTTTTTTTTTAAGGTTCACATAAAGGTACATCTTTTCGTCCACTTAAATGGACAGTACCAGAACATAATCAAACGGTATATTTAATATGTGCATGTAAATATACACGATGTCCACCTATTTGTGATGCAACTCATATTAGTTTAACAAGTACAATTAAAAATCAAATTGAAAATTGTCCATTAAAACAAGAACATTCTAATATTGGTGATAAAAAACTTTGTCAACAATGTGGTTTTGTACCAGATTGGTAACAGAAATATGGTTGTTTTTTTGTTGTTGTTGTTATTCTATTAATAAAATATAACAATACAGTTATAATACCGGTATAATAAATATTATTTCAAATAATTTTATTTTTCCATCGTTGTATGTGTGTATTTTCTTTTTCTTTCATTTTGAATAATGTATACACACACATATAAATCGTATTAAGGAATGCGTTGAAAAATGTACGCAAAGGAGAAAAAAAAAATGCATAAAAGATACATGCACATATACAGTGTATAGTAAACATTAGAAAAGAAAAACCAATTTAGAGAAATTAAACAAACAAAAAAAAAAAAAGAAAATCTAAACACTATGTGAATTCATGTGTATAGATTGTGCATTGTTTTTTTAGAAATTACCATCATTTGTTGCATGTCAATTTTGAATATGGATACAAAAAAAAAAACAAAGAAAAAGAAAACAAACAAAAGAATGTATCACAATAATACTCTATTTTTTGCTTTGCTATATAGTCATTGTTCTGTTCTGTTTTGAGTATCACAAGGGTACGCATAAAATAAAAAGAAAGAAGAAAAAAAAAATATCACACTGTTGCTAGATAAAAAGAAAACAACAAGAAAGAGATTCGGGAATAGCAAATAGAAAGAACAAAAAAAAAAAAGAAAAAAGTGGACGGATTTTGAAATAGTAATAAGAAAACATATATATATGTATATACTTGTGCAGATACAAATAACAATCTACTACTCATTAAAATCACTCATATCATCTAGACTATCATTGTCATCATGATCCTCTTGATCAGATAAATTATTATTATTACCATTTGCTGATAATGGTAATTCACATTGAAATTTTTGTAATGCAAGTTCTATACGACGTTTATCAATAGCAATACGTTTATTTTCACATTCATTTGTTGCTAATTTAATATCAAGATTTTTTTTTTCTATTAATAAAACTTGTTTATCATTAAGAAGTTTTTGACTTATTAATTCAAGTGTACGTTTACGTTTAATTAATGATTCATAACGAAGTGAATGTTGTTGTTGTCCATAAGATTTATTTGTATTATTAAGAAGTTGTTGATTAATTGATGATTTTAATAATTTACGTCGTTTATCTAATGTACGTTTTGATATTTGTCCACCATTACTTGATGTTCCTATTGTTAATGTATTTATTTGTTGTGATGGAATATTTGATGTTATTTGAAAATTTGTTATTGGACTTCGTGAATTGTCATCATTACCAAGTAGACTAGCACTTTCATCACCTGGAGAATCTAATTGACCACTAACACCATTAGCAAGATCTGATGATGGAGAATCAACTTTATCTGATGACTAAAAAAAAACAAAATTTTATTGAAAATTATTTAAAAAGAAAAAATTTTCATATTAATAACTAACCTGTTCATTAAATGATATATCATGATTAGTATTATTTATATTTGATTGTTGTTGTAATACTTGTTGATGTTGTAAAACACCATGAGGAAAATGAGAAGATATTGATGATGGACGACAAATACTTAATATACGATTATATAAATTTAATTGTTTATTTGATATTGATGTTGTTGTACCTGATGCTTGTGCTGCACGATTAGCAGCAACTTCACGTTTAGCTTCACTTTGTAATTTTTTCCATTTTCGTCGTACATCATCAACAGTACGTTCAACTTGTGGATATGTCGCATTGAGATTATCGGTTATTTGTTTCCATATAGCTTGTTTTTGTGCAATAACACTTTTTGATGCTTCACGAGAATGTAATAATTCTTTATATGTATCATATTGATCGATTATATTTAAAACTTCATGTTCAGTAAAATTTGGTTTACGACGACGACCAACATGAAATGAATCAATTGAAGAATAATCTGTAGGTTGATCGTTCATAACTTTATATATATGTATATCTATATATATGTATGTGTATGTGTTTTACTGGATGGAAATAAACAAAAAAAAAAAAAATAATAATGAAAGAAAATGGTTCGATCTAAAATAGAAAAAAACAAGAATCAAGAAGTTGTCTTAAATGACGAGTCACTAACAAAAAAAAAAAAATGACAAAGAAGTTATAGTAGAAGAGTCTAAACTAAATACGACACACTGATGCATAGGGTAGGCATATGCGACGTGTGTTGTTGCCAAGCACCGATGTTCTCTCCTTCATGCTTTTTCTGTCTTCACATTGTGCAAGTGACTGAAAGCGAGAGTATGAGTGAGAGTGAGAGCTATACTTTTGGAGTGTCCCACCGCCATCATGTAGTCATAGTTTTATTCATATTATTATTTCTCTTCTTCCTTTCTTCTTTTTCTTCTTCTTCTTTTTATTCTTTAACGTCTCTGTTTTATGTCTACTTCTCCTTAATCCAGATATATATATATATATATACAAAATGCATTTTCGTCTTCCTTCGTGTGCACCGTCGTCGACACCGTCTTTTTTTCAAAAAAAAAAAGAACTGAGAAAGTAAGAGAAAATTCTGTAATAAGTGTAATGTCTAGTACCACCATTGCTCTTACCTTCCGTACAACAATAACAAAACGAGTAAAAAAAACAGAAGACGACGAGAAATGCGTTGTTGATGAGGGGGGAAAAAATGGTTATCTACACGATTAGAACAGGAAACGATCACTCGCAGGCAACAAACTAGGGTCCTGCTCAGAAGATCATTGAAGTAAGCCATGTAGAATAAGCGTCAACGATACTTCTTCCTTCTTTTACTACGTCTCTCCCTTTTTTTTTCTTTATACTTCACCTTGCTTGCGATAAACACAAGAGTCTAGAATTTCTCGGTGCTTTACTGCCGTCGAGAGGCAACAAACGAGCGTCTTTTTATTTATTTTAATCAGTCAGACCTTCGTTCTATAGAAGCAGAATGGATGGGGAATGTGTTTTTTGACATACACATTGCTGATTTCTTTTCTTTTTACGGTTGTGTCGCTTGTACCCAAGCATGGCAAAAGATTGTTTGCAGCAACATTCGGGTGTCTATGTCTTCTATTCTCTTTTTTTTTGCTTAGGTGTACATTGCGATCACTTTACTCTTTTTCTCAATTCCACTCACCATCAGTTCTGCATACGTGAGTGTGGTGTTTGTTGACAATGGACAAAATATTGTATGACTGTGCTTGTCTACGTCATGTCATTGATTCTTTGGAAAGAATCGACTCCCTTTTTATGTATATATATGCATATATATATATATTCGTCGTTTTTATTTTAACTTGCTTTTTGATTCGAGCAGCTGCGTAGTGTAACACTGTGCTTGCTTATTCATGCGTAATGACTAGTCGTTCTACGACAAGTTGCATGACCAGTTAAATGATGGGACATATAAATGTATATATCTACCCACTAACTTCTGTTTTTCTTTTTCTTTTCGGTGAGTCTCTATCAAAGTCATCATCATCATCATCATCATCATCATCATCCTTTTTCTCTCTCTCTCTCATCCCCACTCCTTTTTTTATGACGGGTGAAAAAATCGTAAAGACGGCCGTGTTTGTCGTTGTACTACCTTGGTAACAAGCAAATGGGTCGGTTTATCTGAATAAGAATTATGATATACTATCGTCAGCGTCGGCGACATAAGGAAAGAACGAACTACTCTAAGTACAATTACAGAATAAGCAAAAATATTCTTTCAATTTTCTCTTCTAATTTATGCAAGACGGTGTAGATACAGAAAAGAAACGAGGAGTAGTTCTGATCGTTCGAGCGACAAAATATATATTATGTATGTTATTCACTTGACTCTTATTGATTTATATTTTAATATAAAGAATACATCCGTATGCATGCACATAACCAAATCATGAAAAAAATAAATATAACTTTTACATTTGATTGAATCATATATTCCTAAAAAGGAAAAAATACATTTGAGTGTGGATTTTTCAAATTTCCTTTTTAATTATTTATTTCATTGGAAGAAAAAAACATAGGAATCATTTATTTTGCTACTTGTTAATATAAGACACCTTTTTTTTTGTGTAATATAAATATTTTTACATTCAACCTACTTATATAAATATTTATGAATTATAATAAATATTACTAAAAGGATACTTTAGAAATTTTTATTATGATCTTTGAGTCAATGTATATTCAATTTTGATGAACATAATTTGATATATTATTTGAAAAAATACAACTAAAATTTTTTTTTTTTTGTTTTTTTGAATTATACTTAATGCAGAAATTACATGTAATTCATATTCTTTAAAAATAATTTGAACTTTTTTTTTTTTTCTTGTTTAATTACAAATATTTGTGTTGTTTGTATCGCAATTGTTTCAATTCTGATTGAATATTTATAGAATCAATAGATTTTCTCTTCTCGAGAGATGATTTAAAACTTCCAGAAAAAAAAAAGCAAACATCTATATTTTTAAAAGTACAGATCTTATTTATTATTTTAATAGCATCAATATTATTCATTGTTTCTTTTTTTTTCAATATACATTAAGTATGATATTCCATAAGATGTTTTGTTAAATTTGTTGTTGACTCAAGATTTCTTAGGTAATTACACATGACATCATAATTATTTGTATGTTTATTTATATTTAAATATTGCGCAATATCATACCATTGATGAAATCTAATAGAAAAAAATTTACAAAAAAAAAAAAAAAAACAAAATTTTGTTCTTTTTCTTCTTACTGTCCAGCATCAATTTGATTTAAACGATGATATTCAAGATATTTTTTTCTTTGTTGTTGTTTATAATATGTATAAATATTAATAAATAAAATAAAAAATATAAGAAATATAAAAAGTGTTATGAAAAAAATCCAACCATGATATGAATTATGAATATTATGTATTGGTCCAATTTCAATTAATAGAAATGTTTCAAGATCACAAAAACTAAAGACAAAAAAACAAAAAAAAATATTTCCATAGACAAAAACTTTGTATTATTGTTCTATAATACCTAAATTTATTATTATAAGCAATTATATGTAGAATAAATTTTAAATAATTATCTGATGCTTGATTTATACTTTCATTTATATATATAGGAAGTGATCCATTAAAAAAAAGACATGAATTAGTTGATATTACAAAAGTATTTAATAATGTTTGATAGAATGTTCGTCGTTCATAAGGAATCTAAATATCATATACAAATAATAGACAACATAAATTATAAAAAAAACTTTCCTAAGGGTAAATTTTAGATTAGAAAGATTAATACAAAAAAATTATAAAATATTAATTAATTCTGAAATATATTAATAGAAATTGTATCATAAATAATAAGAAGAATAATCTTATCTTATTCAATCGTAATAAGACATATGTCTTGCATAAGAGATTAAATACTTTGATGATTAATCTCAGTTATAGTAAACTGTATTTCTACATGTCACTTCAATGATCAATTAAAATACAAAAAAAAAAAAAAAATTTTTTTTTCAGAAATAATCAATAAACTTCAATTAAACTATAATTAAGAAAGACAAAAAGAAAAGTTTTAATCATTAGTCATAATATTGTGTATCATATCAATGAATACAGACTGACTTAGGAAAGTTTTTGTAAGACCATTTCTCGTTTCCAACAATGAGAAACACATATGTATGTCGGAGAACGGTAATATTAACCCTTCAAGCTATACTAGTGTGTAGTTTACATTTTAATAGGTAGAACTGAAATAAAAATTCAAATGCAAACGCTCCAAAGAATAAACTCTACAGGTAATGACATAATTTCTTTTATCAATTAAAATTCTTTGTATGTTGTATTGATTCACAAAAAAGACGAGGCAATTATTTAAATATTTCACAATATTGAGTAAAACAGAAAAAGTAATTTTATAAGAACCGATATTCAAAGAACGAAAATGTTTGAACTTCTTCATTTAATTTTATGAATATGAAAATATTTTGATGGAAAATCAAATTGATATTTGGAGAGCTACATTGAGTCATATATTTAAAAAAAAAAAAAAGAATTTTTATCTTCAAAATTATTTGCATAAGTAAACAGACACACATTGACAGCTTTTGCATACAAATCGAACGTGATTATGCAAGAAAAAATGTTTTTAATTAGATTTGCTATTGATACTCATAAAACAGATATCATTGGTTGACAGAAAAAAAACCCAATGTTTATCATCGTGTGGATCTACTATACGAAAATGGCTTATAAAAATATTGTTCGAAAGTTTATGTTTGAATATCGATTTCTAGGCGAAGCAGTTATATATATTACAAAGGTGTAAGCTTATATTACATCCACAAGAATTTGAAAGAACCAATAGATCATGTTTTTTTTTTGATCTATTAAATGTTAACGATTGACGAAGATTCAATGGAATAGAATTATTTTCTTGGTCGTTCGATAGAGAATATTCCTCGTACTACTGCTCATTTATGTATGAAACAATCATTTAGGCATTGTCGGATATAGAATTTATTTTTGAAGAAAATGATTTGACTGTTAAATTGAAGAGTAAAAACGATTAGGTTGTATTGAATTAAAAAAGACAATTGCATAATCCTGTCAATTATTATCGTCATCGTTGGATGATTGTGTAAATGATAATCTTTTAAAATTTTGCTCTAACAACAAGTACTTAAGCAATAAATGCAATGGTTTCGTCCAGCGAAAAATTCTCTATCGAATAACTTTCTGAAAGTGTATCAGAATGACTCAAAAAAAAACAATGATTTTGTCCTATTTAATCTGCACTATCCGTTTTATGATTTATAGTTAGTTCTTTTCGAAAGAATAATTAAAAAACCAATCATATCATTAAACAATTGTTTTTTTTTGTGTTTTTCAATCAAATAGCAACCTAGAGAGGTCTACAACCGAAATCCATTCCAAAATGTCAAACTAGTGATCCTTAAAATACATAGAAAAGTGTTGA